TTTTTTTTTTTTTTTTTTTTTTTTTTTTTTTTTTTTTTTTTTTTTTTTTTTTTTTTTTTTTTTTTTTTTTTTTTTTTTTTTTTTTTTTTTTTTTTTTTTTTTTATTTTTTTTTTTTTTTTTTTTTTTTTTTTTTTTTATTTTTTTTTTTTCTTTTTTTTTTTTTTTTTTTTTTTTTTTTTTTTTTTTTTTTTTTTTTTTTATTTTTTTTTTTTTTTTTGTTTTTTTTTTTTTTTTTTTTTTTTTTTTTTTTTTTTTTTTTTTTTTATTTTTTTTATTTTGTTTTTTTTTTTTTTTTTTTTTTTTTTTTTTTTTTTTTTTTTTTTTTTTTTTTTTTTTTTTTTTTTTTTTTTTTTTTTTTTTTTTTTTTTTTTTTTTTTTTTTTTTTTTTTTTTTTTTTTTTTTTTTTTTTTTTTTTTTTTTTTTTTTTTTTTTTTTTTTTTTTTTTTTTTTTTTTTTTCTTTTTTTTTATTTTTTTTTTTTTTGCTCTTTTTTTATTTTTTTTTCTTTTTTTTTTTTTTTTTTTTTTTATTTTAAATAAATTTGTCCATCTTCATTATTGTTTCTCACTTCTATAGGTTCAATTCATTTGAATTCTATCTATTTTACTCTATCCAGTACTGATGAGGTACTGATAAAGAGAGAGAAAAGGAAACAAAATTGAGGAGAGAGTACTTACATAATCACTTCTCTACTTCTACTTCCTCTAGTCCTCTTCCATCCTAAGCTTAAGTGAAAATAATTGTAGTTTACTGTTCCAAACCCTTTTAGATTAGCCAGCAGAGGGAGTTTATATCTGCAGCCTTTGTGCTTATTGGTCTGGTCTTGAGTTCTGTAGTTCTTTTCTGTATGGCTTAATCTCAGCAGCACCTGTAAACTTGGCCCTTACCCTTTGACTTGCTCATGAATTGTATTTAAACTCTCACTACAAGATTGTTCAAGGAGATGACTCTTCAACATTTGAAAGCCCTTATCAACCCATCTATCTTTTTTTTTGTGATATTGGTGTTTTGATCTCAGGCCTCATGATTTCTAGTAGGCATTCTGCCATTTGACTCATGTCCCAGCCCTTTTTTTGCTTTAATTATTTTTCAGTAAGGTCCTGTTGGTTTTTTTTCCCCAAACCTGCCTAGACCACTGCCTCCTACTTGTACCGTCCACATAGCTGGGATGACAGACACTGCCACCGTACCCAGATTTTTTTTGGTTTGATATGGAGTCTCTCAATAACTTTTTTTTTCCCCAGGCTCACCTCAAACTGCAATCCTCCTGATCTCTGCCTCCCAAGTAGCTGAGATTATAGGTGTGAGCCACTGTACCCAACAATCCTTCTTACCTTTTCTTCTCTCTCCAATATTCAATCAATAGATTATTAATGATAAAAAAAATCTACCTTTGTAATCTATGAGATAATAGAATTAGCTCTCACACTTAGAAACAATATTATAGAAGAGACAAACACCTAAGTACACTAACTTAAGTTGTATTTGTGACTTGCAACTAATTCCACCCCTAAGTTGGTTATGGCTGTTTTATCACTTGAAACCAGTTTTTGTTTACCTTCTGTGAGAAACCACCACTTTGGTCTTGACTCTTTTCCATTTCCCTAACTCAGTTGCCCCTATCCCATTGCCTCCCTAAGTCTGATACCCTGTAGCTAGGTCAGTTTAAAAATATGGGAGGACTTCTGGCTCTTTCCTTTTACTTTCCACTAGTGACAGTCACATAATAGTTTTAGTCTGTTGAACTACCAATTTGTCTTGTTTTCCTTAAATTCATTGCCTCAGATATTGTAGTTTGTTTGCCTATTATGTGCTTTTGTTAATTTCAGGACCCAAAGACTCCAAGAAGAAAAAAACAAAAGTGCGACTGAGGTACTTAGGAGACGGGAAACAGAATATAAAGAGCATTGAAGAGACCTATGATCAAAAAGCTCAAGAATGAACTTCTAAAGTAATTATTTGGTAGTTTTCAAAGAAGTAGCAGGTTTGAATTAAGTTGGTGGAAATATGACAAAAACTGATAATGTATAGATAAGGCTAATGTTCTATGGCAGAATTTAGTGTTTGAATAAATACCTATTTTCTTCTGTAGTAAGTTCTTTCCCATGAATATTTGAGTTAGGATAGTTTATTTTATTTATTTTTTTTTAGCGGGACTGGGGTTTGAACTCAGGGCTTCATGCTTGCAAAGTAGGTGCTCTACTGCTTGAGCCACACCTCCAGTCCATTTTGCTCTGGTTATTTTTTAGAGATGAAGTCTTAGAAACTGTTTGCCCAAGCTGGCCTCGAACCTCTATCCTCCTAATCTTAGCTTCTCAAGTAGCTAGGATTACAGTGAGCCACTGGTGCCCAGCGTTAGGATAGTTTTTAAAAATACGATGTAGAGAATTATTTCCTTTGTCCTTCTAATCATAGCTTCTCTAGCTATGAGGGCCTGTGCTCTGAAAGTTAAAGCACCTTATGACTTGCTCAGCCTGCATAGCTGATCACCTGTAATATTAATTGTAAGTACTTTTAGTTATCTTTTCCTTACCCTCACTCATATTGCCACTAAGATAAAGATCTGTAATAGTTTTAAATTATCCTACTTAGAGATTATATAGTATTTATCCATGAACATATGCATTGTATACCTCAAGGTCATCCTCAAACTTGTGCAGTCCTCCTGCCTCTGTCTCTTAAGTGTTGGCATTACAGGTACACCGCACGCCCAGCTAATTTGCTTCTGTAGTCTCAGTTTTGTGTACCAGTGAGTCATATCCAATGCCAGGACATTACACCCATATGGAACTTTCTCAGTGAAAGTTATTGCATCTGGTACATTATAACTGCTCAGTTAATATTTGTTGAGTAAATGTGTAGCAGGAAATGATTCAACTCAGATGCTCTGGGTCTTTCTTATCATCATATCTCTTAATTGCCTGGCCTAGAAATTTGTCATTGATAATCCACTATGTAGTTCTTATAAAGGCTTTTTACATGAATTCTACTTAAAAAAGAAATGCAGCAGCTGTTCCATCAATTTTGAAGTGATAGATTTTTTTTTAAAATATAGAACGTTTCACGAATTTGCGTGTCATCCTTGCTCAGGGGCTATGCTATTTTCTCTGTATTCGTTTCAATTTTAGTATATATGCTGCCAAAGCGAGCATGTGATAGATTTTTTTTAACCACATAGTTTGTCTGTTTCTTTACTAAAGTGGGAAACACCAAAGTATCTGTAATTGTCAAACTTTAGGAATGAATGAATTAAAGTGTATATTGATTTTACATAGTTTGGAGAGAGTGAACTGCATTTTGACATCCTCCCTAGCCTGGTAGAGCCTCCTATAACTGGCAAATGTGGGAGTGTGGAGGATATTCACCACAGGAGTGTTTCTTTTCCTTCTCCCATCTTTGTCCGGAGGGCCACTGATACAGCTGGTGAAAATAAGTCAAACTCCATGAAAACTTGTCTTTGGCATATGTGGACATTAGATCAAGGGTAAAATAACAAGGGGATTGGACTATGAGCACATGATAAAAGCAAGGCACACAAGGGAGGGGTGAGGATAGGTAAGACACCTAAAAACTAGCTAGCATTTTGTTGCCCTTAACGCAGAGAAACTAAAGCAGATACCTTAAAAGCAACTGAGGCAATAGGAAAAGGGGAACAGGTACTAGAGAAAAGGTTAGTTCAAGAAGAATTAACCTAGAAGGTAACACCACGCACAGGAAATCAATGTGAGTCAATGCCCTGTATAGCTATCCTTATCTCAACAGCAAAACCCTGTTCCTTCCTATTATTGCTTGTACTCTCTCTACAACAAAATTAGAAATAAGGGCAAAATAGTTTCTGCTGGGTATTGGGGGGGGGAGGAGGAGGGGCGGAGTGGGTGGTAAGAGAGGGGGTGGGGGCAGGGGGGAGAAATGAACCAAGCCTTGTATGCACATATGAATAATAAAGAAAAGGAAAAAAAAAGAAAACTTGTCTTTTGGTATTGATGATTGGGCTATAATGTGTTGCCAGTTGCCAGTTGCCTCTCAATACTATGCTTAGAGCATAAGGAAAAAGTTCTTATCTTGGTTGCCAGTAGGGAGATGGATTAGAATGAGTGACTGCTTTGTTGTCCTTGTGGATTTAGAGACCGTTGTGTGCTGTGTGAGTTTAACTTAGTTTTACTTCTTTTGCTCACTGTGCTAGTCAAGACCAACTGAAAAACAATTTTAGTAACCTCAAGGTAGCCCTTCCATTTTGTGCGATTGAGTTTTGGAACTAATTTACAGGATCAGGGCAGGATTCAATCAGACCTTTTATGTTCGGAATTTAGATCCTTGGCCTTAGAACTGAGAGACTTTGAAGTTTCTGGCCTGCTCTGTTCGAAGCCCTTAGGCATCCTGTGAGGTAGATAAGCTCCTGCATTTGGTAGTAGTTCTTACATAGTGATGACAAGGAACTCATTTTAGTCATTCTGATTCTCAGGTATCACTTGAACTGAAGGATGACTACATCTCTAGAACTAATAGACTGATTGAAGATGAAAGGAAGAATAAAGGTGATGGGGGAGAGCCAGCTGTATTTTTCAGTTCTGATGTAGGTTATTAGTTTCCTGAGTTGGATCTAGTCTGTATTCTTTAAAAAATATATATATAGCTTACACTTCATTTTACTAAAACTTACTTTTTTTGTAATTTTAATTTCACAAATAAAACACTGTCATTCATGTTTAACATTTTGTATATTCACAAAGATCAGTGATTTATCTTCAGTATTTTATCCAACTTTTATTTTTAATAAATCTGATTACCAAAAAGGTGGCAGCAACTTACTGCCATCTGGTAAGTTTTATATTTATTTTGCTTCTAATATATTTTTATGCTTCATGGTATTTTTGCTTGATGTATAACCTCCTAAATTCTCATATATACATTAACTAAGACTATGGAAGTTGAATCATTTTTCAGTTTTTCAGATATTTTACATCTTTAATATTTTCTAGGAAATTGCCTATGACAAAAGTTAACTTTTGCTGGAAGTTTCAAAACAGATTCTTGGGAGTAAATCAGAGCTGAGTACTTGATGTGGACCAGACACCCAATGTGGGCTGTTCCTTTTGCTACTGTCTTGTGGAGATTAATACTTCTTTTATGGACTAATATCATCATGTATTTAGCAGATTATCTTTTTATGATATATCTGCATCAACTGATGTTAGAGGAAGTAAAACTACAAAAGGGTAACAGACAGATCTTTGCCTTTAAGGAAACTGGGCCCTGGTGTTACTCTGGTTAACATATAGCAGGAATTTCACTATATATGTGACAGTTGTAACTTAACATCACCCATTGGGTAACAGGGTTTCTTTTTTACTTGCCCACTAAATTTTTGATTCTTAAATCTGCTATTTTAAATATGAAGTAATGGTCATTAGGTCTCACATATAATTAAATGGCTTTTGTATTCACTATGAAAACATTACATTTATTTGGTGGAATTTTTCTTTTCAGAAAAAGCTATTAAATTGCAAGAGGAGCTTATAGCTATTAATTCAAAAAAGGAAGAACTCAGTCAATCTGTAAATCGTATGAAAGAACTTGAGGTAATTTTTTTTTGAGGTAATTGTTAAGCTATTACTTTTTGAAATACACTTTAGACAATATGTGAAATTTTAGTTTTAATCAAAGATAATTTATGTTATCTTCTCAGTGTATTTGGATTATTCTATGACTAAGAAGGTGATGGCTGAAGTTAATTCAGTTTAGTTCTTAATTTCAATCAGAACCACATAGGAAAGTAGAGAAAGTGCTTTGGGCCTTAAAGTCTGCTGTAATGCTGTCTCTCTATTTTGTGGCTTGTGCACCTATAGTCTATAAACTCTAGGCTATTTCCCACATTACATGCTTGTTGACGGAATTTAATGAGCTACCCCATAACAGATGGCCAGTATATATTAGTTTCTGCCTCATCTTCTCCTATCCTCTCATTACATAATTATCTTACAAATTAAGACAAAATGAGATAATTTTTTGTATTTCCCTGGTACTTTATTCCTGTTCATTAGTGTGCTTTTTGTCTGAAGGACAGATCTGGAATTTTAGGTACTTAAAATACAATCTAAATGTAAAATTTATTTTTGTAACCATTATGACTTATTTGAGAACCTTGAGGCTAAAGACATGGCTCAAGTTGTAAAGTGCTTGCCTAGCAAGCATGAAGCCCTGAGTTCAAACCCCAGTACCACATTAAAAAAAAAAAAGAACTTTGTAGGCTTTTATATCCAAATATGAGATATACTAGACTAAGAAAAGGAAAGAATGTCACAGCATATTAGAGATTGTTTCTATCTCACCTTTTCATATTTAAAAAAATGTTTTGCTACAATTTGTGATTGTTATTGGGTCTGGTTGCATTTGGAAAATGGAGTGATAATTTTTGTCAGAAGCATTCATTTCATAGGATAAGGGTCTACAGGTGCAAGTCATGAACTTTCCCTGCTCCACCATCAGTACACATGATAACTTTTATTACTGTAGTTAGGGGTCTTGTTGCAGAGAACCCTACCTCTATCCAGTGACTGTCATTAAGTTGTGAGACCCAGATTAAAGCAGCCTTTCAGCTTTTACTTTTAGTAGTGCTGTGAGGTCATTTTTTGAATGTAAGTTTTCCTTTTTCAACTTCAGCTTGAGTTAGAGTCTGTCAAAACTCAGTTTTTAACAATGGCAAAACAAAACCACTTGCTGAATGAAAAGGTTAAAGCGATGAATGATTACTCACTACTGAAAGAAGAGAAAGTGGAGCTTCAGGCACAAAATAAATTACTTAAACAGCAACTGGAAGAGAGTCGGAATGAAAACTTATGTCTCCTAAACCGTATGTCTTTTTTGTCTAATTTTGTACCTTTCTGTAACTCATATTAAGTTATATTATAAAACTGCTTCATAATCTGACAGGGAGCTTCAGTTGTGGAGACTTTATAATCTTGGCATTGGAATTTCTTCCTTTTTTGCTTACTGTTGCATAATTAGTGCTGCATCTTTGGGTGTATCATAGCTCCTGCCTCTGACTGCTACTTGAATTTAGCCAGTGGGGACTCCAGTAAGCACCTGGAGGAAGGCAAGGAAAATTGTCCAACCTACGTGCACAGCAACCGTGGACTGCCTGCCCCTGCACCTCTCAGCCAAGCAAGGTCACAGTCCCTGCAAGTGGTCTCTCACCAGTGCTCTGCATTTGTGTCCACTCACTCGCTAATTCTGGGAAGTTCTCCCTTCCCTTACCCTCCAGTTCCAAGGGGTGCTGACAGTATGGCTCTGTTTCTAGCCATGGAACTACACCATCCTTTGTGTTACCCTGAATAAGGCAAGCTTTATTAAAAGGTCTTTAGGTGACCCAAATTGAGGGTACCATCTGCTTCCAGCCTAGAACCTGACTTCTGCTGACAGTTGTTCAAATAGGATGAGATCTGATAGGTAGACAGCTAGAGAGCGCCTATGAAGCCTTCTGTGCATGGTAGAGAGAGAGAGAGGCAGGCCTTTGAGTTAATTGGAGGATTTGAAAGAATTCTTTTACTTGGAGAAGGACTCCAAGAATAATCATTTCCATTAACATATATTAAATTCTTTTTTCCTGAAATTTGTGAATCAGGATTGCTCTAGTCCATTTAGTAGAGTTGATGGAATATTAACTGCATGAGTACAAAAAAAGCAAACAGTGTAAAACCTCTAACTGCTTTTGTTAAGTGAAATAAGCAAACTTAAAGTTGATAATGACTAGGATTTTTTTTTTAATCTTAGGCATAGCTCAGCCAGCTCCTGAGCTTCTGGTTTTTCAGCAGGAGTTACAGAAAGCAGAAAATGCTATAGCAGTTGAGCAGAAGGAGTTTGAAACTCAAAGGCAAGCTCTGCAAAAACAGCTGCAAAGTGAAGTGAGTATTGTTCTTCATTCTTGCAAGTGTTATGCTACTCCAGTTTGCAGTATATAAACTTGGCACAAGTCACACCATACAAATCAAATGTATTTTAATATCCAAAACTCCCCCAAATATGTTAAAGGATCCTTTGTCATCTGAGAAAGTTCTCTAATAAATAGACAAAAAGCAAACTCACCTGGATATATATATTTTTTTATGATATTGGGGTTCAAACTCAGGACCTTACACTTGCTAGGCAAGTGCTCTACCACTTGAGGCATGCCCCCAGCCCCTATATAAGATGTTTTCTGTGTGCCTGATAGTACCCACTGTTAGACTCTTGATTCTTGTGCTGAGATTTAAATGTTTACTGTGTCTTTCTAATTGTTGGCCTGTATGCCCTTGAGCAGCTGTTATTGGACATGAACCAAAAAGGTAGTGAAAAAGTTGTTCATGTGTTCTGTTGTTTTTGTTTTTTTAAATAGATTGCTGGTTTAAATGATTACTGGTATAAAGTATTTCAGAATTGGCAAAAGAGAAAAGAAGATAAGCACAATAAGAAAATTTTTCCTTTTGAAGCAAGCTATGATTTGTTTTATATTGATTTCTTTTTCTTCTCTGAATCTTTTCAGATTGAACATTCTGCACAGCTAAAGGCCCAGATATTAGATTATGAAGCTTCTGTAAAGAGGTTAACTCTTCAGGTTGCTGATTTAAAATTGCAACTGAAACAAACTCAGACAGGTTAGAGACGTTTTTAACCCATAAATATTTGTGTGTGTGTAACGCTTCCACATTTGTGGAAATATAATGATTGTGATTTATTGATCACTTAATAATTCCTGTATTGGGGGAAGCCATAGAAATATGTGTCATCCCAGAAGTAAAACTTCTTATCTGCCTCAGGTATACCAACTTGGTTATCAACTAAAGTGACTTGCCTTCACAGGTACCCCAAATAGGAAAGGTGTGGTGGTGACACAGAAGTCCTCAGTTTTGTCTTAGGCTTTCCTTTTTTTTATTTGTTACCCTGATGATATGACTAATTAGCTATTTAGTACTTTGACATATTCCTTAACAGACAGATCTGTAAATGTATGAGAGAAGCAGGGTAGTTTAGTGAAAAAAACATTGCTGTTGGAATCAGAGAATTATTTTTGTTTTGGACTCCAATTTTGAAGTTAACTGTTTGAACTTGGGCACGATACTTCTGTGGGGCTCAGTTTCCTCATTTGTAATGGGGACAACAATATGTACTGGGCCACAGTAAACAAAGATGAAATAAGATGGGTCACAGGTCCCATCCTGGTACATAAAAGGCACTCAGGAAATATTTGTCACTGTGTCATCACTTCAGATGCACATCTGCCCTCTCGTGCTTCACAGGAAGGATATCACAGCTTAGACATCACCTTCTTCAGTTGCTTTCAAACTCAGTTTATATGTGTTACCAGTTCAACTGATTTCTCAGGCTTCCTTGATCTGAGCCTTCCTCAGTTCCCACCTGCACTTTTTCCTCTCATGCCCTTGTTCCTTCTGCCTGCACAGGTTTCATTTTTATATACCCACTCATTTCTACTCTTTCCTATTCCTCATTTTCTCCCAGCAGCTCTGTTTGACACACCGTCCACAGCTGAAATCATTGCAGTATTGTATCAAGAAAACTAACTCAGTGAAGCAGAAGCTTTTCTGCACACATACATTGCCCCTTGCAAGCTTCTGTCTGCAAGCACCTTAGGGAGGTATTGCAGGAGAGGAGCCGGTACAGTACATACACTGGCTATGCATTAAGAAATCCTAGGGCTCTAGGACTTGCTAACTGTGTGACTGAGCCTCGGTAAGCTTCTGTCTTCTATCTGTGAAAGGGGCGCAGTGAGAGTTCCTTGCCCACAGTGATGTGAATGCAAACCCTCAATCTCTTACCTGAAACTCAGACCATACACTGTGGATTTCACAATAGCCCTGGGAATTCTGGTGCTACAGCCTATAGTGAAACACATTACTTATTTTGCAGTCAAATGTATGAATATTTGTTCTGGCTGGGATAAATGCAGATTATAAATGGGTATATATCAGTTCAGGTCAAGCTTCTTTTTTTCTTCTTTATTCATATGTGCATACATTGTTTGGGCCATTTCTCCCCCATACCCCCTGCCCCCTCTCCCTCCCCCTCCTCGCCCTCCCTCGCTTTCAGGCAGAATCTGTTCTGCCCTTATCTCTAATTTTGTTGAAGAGAGAGTATAGACAATAATAAGAAAGACAAAGCATTTTTGCTATTTGAGATAAGGATAGCTATACAGGGAGATTCCTAGCATTGTTTCCATGTATAAATATGTTACATTCTAAGTTGATTCATCTCTAACTGACCTTTTCTCTAGTTCAGGTCAAGCTTTTCGACCAAATTCGTTAAGTCTGGCTAGAATTTGCACCAAATAAACTATAAATAAATTTTCACTTCTCAAAGTTTTTGGGATTTCAGAAGAATGTATAACAGATTATGAAATTGTATCACACATTATAAAAGTTAAATGTATGACGTTGTACCTGTACATACAAGCTCTCAGTAAATGCTAATCATTGTTATTATGGCTTCAGAAATTGTTTAATATGCAAGTTTTTCCATATTTCTTTCATTTTTCAAAAATATAGTATTCTCAAGTATATGTTAATTTTATTCATTTTCTTTTCTCCTCAATTCTCAAATTTCCTTTTTGTAACCTGTAGCCTTAGAGAATGAAGTGTACCGCAATCCAAAGCAGTCTCTGATCCATCGTTCTACAAACGAGTTTGTAAGTGGCAAGATGGTGCCTCCCAATGGTGATATAAGGCAAGATTTCTTCAACAGGACTCTTGAACAGGGAAAGATTATGGCAAGTACAATTATCTCAAGGATCACAGGTTATCCAAACGCAGGGACAGAAGGTAGTTCCCCAGACTCTGACCTCGAGTTTGTAGTCAATACTAAGGCTAGGGTAAGAGAACTAGAGCAAGAGGCTGAACGCTTGGAAAAGGCTTTCAGAAATTATCGTCAAAGAGCTACTCTAAACCCTGTTAAAAGCCCACCACCAGCAAAGAATGCATCTCTACACTTGCTAGGATCTCTCAGAAACATTGCTTTTAGTTCCCCAGAAAGACATTCTTTGGCAGAGAACCAACTTGTCTCCGAGCAGCCTCAGGTGGACACTGTTAAAGAGGAAAAGAATGAGGAAAAGAGTGATGCCTCTGAAGTACCAACAGGCAGCACAGCCATGCGGCCACGCAGGAGCTCTTCCTCCAGACGTCTCTCCTCCACACCCCTTCCAAAAGCCAGAAGAAGTCTTGATAATGAAATGTATCTGGAAGGTAAGCCACTGCTCAAAGGGTTGCAGGATACTCTGGAGATGGGCAGCCTTGGTCCTCACGGGACCTCTGAATGAGGGAAAAAAAACCTGGACAATAGGAAGTGGTGGACAGTGCATGTGGCAATCACGTAAAGCCTGAGCTTGAGCAGTGGTTGCCAACCTTCAGTCTTCTGGTCAACAGCAAACCTCCCTCCCATATTGCTGGGTTGCTGTGGGAGTCAGTGACATAAAGTGTTTAAGCATTTGCTTAGCAAACAGAGGTGTTCACAGAGCAAGAGTGGCCTGTCTTTCCCTTGCTGCTGGTTAGTTTTATATACTTTAGTATTACCTCTGCAGTTTGATATAAGTGCTTGAATCTGTTACCTTTGTGTATCTTGCTATTTGCAAGGATAACATAGAATTTATTTTCAAGCTAATAGAGCTTTTTGAAAAAGACATTGGAATCTTCTCCAAGCAATTTGTAATGTTCTTGCCCTGGTTCCTTCTACTCATTAGGTCTGGGCAAATCACATGTTACTTCCCCCAGTCCTTTTCCTGACAGTCTCCAGCCATCACTTGCTGAATCTAGGCACAGCCTCTCTGTCCCTTCCTTCTCTGGCCCTCCAGAGCAGAAGACCAAGTAAGTACCATTTTTGGACCGACTTCCGAAAATGAGATAGATGTCACCCACTATCTCAGCCTTCACTACTCCTTTGGTATTTTTAAGGTGAACTTAAACATCATGTGACAGTATAGTATTTATAGTCAGATTGTAAAATCTTGTGTGATCTTTGAAAATCCTCTGAATTACACGAGGGAGACTGTAATATGGTACTAATAAACATCTCCATAGGTCTTTGAATAGATTGGGTTTATGAAGATAAATGTATAAACTTTGTCTAAGCAAATTTGGCTTATTTTTAAAGTTGAACAATTTCACACATCACTAAAACGTCATTTCTAAGAATGTTTTGGCATTTAAATATGAACAGATATGGTTCCAATTTGTATACCACTGAAACAAATTCTAAAGTAACAGTGGTTTCTAGGGTACAGTTGTTGAATCAGGAAGAAATGGGTATTCTTAGAAACTAGGCCAGTAGGTTACCTTAACTGTGAGTCACAGGCATTGAAAGTACAACATTCTTTGTTAACGGTAGTAATGTCTACCTCAGGGCGTGGGGTGGAGGAAGTATAGCTGAGTAAACATGGATTAATTGCAGAGAACAGTGTTTGCTACCTAGTGAACACTCAGTGGTGGAGGAGGGGGCATTGCATATACATGCACACGTGGTGCTGGGATAGAATCAAGGTTCCTCATACATGCTGGACAAGCTCTCTACCACTGAGCCACACCCCCATGCCTGGAGCTATTACTTATAAACCAAAGAAAAATGAATATTGTAGATAATTTTCTTTTTTGACGGTACTGGAGTTTGAACTTAGGGCTTCATACTTGCTAGGCAGGCACTCTACTCCTTGAGCCACTCCACCAGCTTATAGATGGTTTTCTTGAGCCACAGAAAGCTTTTTGTGACCTTCTGCTCTTTGCTTTTATGTTGTTAACACTTCACATTCGTGAACTTTATTCTTCCAATCCAGTATTTATCTGAGACAAACTGAAGTTCAAGACAAAAGTGAATCTTCAAATCTGAACAAGCTAACCTTAAAGAGTAACAAGGAATTTGAGCCATCTTTTCAATGTAAGTTCAAATAAAAGTACTGATTTTTATAAGCTGAAAATGTAGGAAGCTTAGTTTTGGTGAAACATAGCCATTAGTATCAAGCAAAGCAGTTACAAGTTGGGACATTTTTATTTTGTGATAGACCACAAATACTGATATATTGCCTCATTTTTAGGGGTGTCTCTGAGTTAACGTTTTTAAAATTTCAGGATGACTCATAATTTTAAAGTTAGAAGCAAACCCATAAATTAATCCATAATTTGCCAAGTTTGTAATTACCTCAGTTTGAAAATAAGTAATTGTTCTTTATTTTTCTTTTTATGGAATATGAAGATGTTATTTTTTTTAAATTGTATTGATTCTGTTGGTTGTTCAGATTTAGAAAACTCTGTCCTCAGTCAAAGAATGGAGGTGAAAGAATATTTAGTCTAGAGACTGGTAGCGTGATTGTGATCCTGCTTTGGACTGTCTTATCCTATAACCCAGGTGTAGGGCCCGTTGCCTTGAGAAGTGAGTGTTGGCAAGTGGTTGAGGACTTCTTGGAATCCTGTAGGAAAATGCTCACCTAGTTGCTCTACCTATAGTTCCCATGCTCCCCGGTCAGATCTTCGCACACTGCACTCTCCTCCCTTCTCTTGCTGTTGTTACTAAGAACTTGGGGCACAATTATTTGCCGCTTGTGTAGATGCAGGGAACAAGCCAAGGCAGTTTGAAACTGACGAGCTCCACCCTGCTGGTGATATGCCTCATGCGGACGGTGCTGCAGCTGCTATGCCCACCAGACCCATCCCATGTCACTACCCAAGTAAGTGGTTCTTCCTTTAAACTAGCAGTTAGATAGCCACATATTGAATGCCAAACTGTGTGCTGCTCTGTAAATTACTACCTATATTACTGAAGGCCTTTTTTTGTTTGTTTTTTTTTTTTTTTGGTAGTGGTACTGGGGTTTGAACTCAGGGCTTCGTGCTTGCAAAGCAGGCACTCTACCACTTTAACCACACCTATGGTTCAACTAAAGGACTTTTTATATGTATTTATTTATTTTTTGGTAGTACTGGGGTTTGAACTCAGGGCCTCACGCTTGCTAGGCAGGTGCTCTACTACCTGAGCCACTCCAGCAGGACTTTTTATAAACATAAATTATTCAGGGGCTTGGAGTCTTATTATTGTTCATAACATTTCTGAAGGAACTCCCCATGTGGACATGCAAAACCATTGCCAAGGAAAACCTCTGAGGGGAAGGCTTTTCATTTAGTCTTCCCAGGAGACATGAGAGATGCTTTTAAAAAAAGTTTTCTTTACTTTTTTAGCATCTGACAGAGCAATTACACTTTACCCTAAGACTCTTTTCTAACCATTCCATAGGAGCCTTTATCATCTTGGGAAATCATAGTGAAAACTGAAATATTGGTCAACTCCCATTCTATATTTTTTTAAAGTGATTGTAATATTTTAATATCTTTTTTTTTATCTGTTTGCTTCCTTTATGTCTTAAGAAATGTATGAAAATGGAAAAATGAGACCTGTTGAAACTATTCCAGGAAAGGGGGGAGGAGAACAAAGGAGAATGATGGAGGGGGTGAATTCAACTATGATATATTGTAAGAACTTCTGTAAATGTCACAATGTACCCCCAGACAACAATAACAAAAAAAGAATATTTAAAAAAAAAAAAAAAAGAAATTAGGACAGAGAGACAAAGTCCCCAATAGCACTAAGTTAACTTGTCACTGGAAGAAAACTTGTCATCAGACTTCTGTCTGGTCCATGTTTCTTTCCTCTTCTCCAGCTTACCCACACTCCTCTCTGATGATGGAGGTAGCAGAACCGAAGGGATATTTGTGCCTTGTTCCAGCCTTGGCCAACAGTCAGGTCTTTTCTTCTTGAACCAAGGTGTAAGCCTCAAACTTGCAAGAAAGCATCTTAAGTATAGCCACCTCTTAGTCCTTCCCAAACATCAGGACATCATCCCCCAACATATTCAAAGCCTCCTGTTAGCAGTTTCTTAGTCATGGTACTCAGGAATGTGAGGAAATACTAAAGGAAGTTAGAGATTTTGAGAGGATGGAGTTGATTTTGCTGGCTCCAGAGTAAATCTGTTTTGGAAGACACTCATTCATCTAGACTTAAAAGCTTTCTCTCTGCTGGACACTTTCCTATGGGGGAGCAGGCATATTGCATATAAATGCCTGCCTTCATGGAGACATAGGGGAAGCTAGGCAGCTAGCAGCCCGTCACCAAGGCCTTCAGGTAGGAGGTGTTGCCCTAGTTGAGGAGGGGCAGTGACCTGAGTGATTGAGGGAACCAAAATAACAATAGGTAAAGGAAATTACTGAGCAGGTAGGTGGTCTGCTTTGAAATACAGATTATAATAGCTTTAGAAATAATAAGCAGCACGGTTATGTTTTGGTCATTGAGAAATTATCGTATACTTTCACTTCACCTCTTCATCTGGGCACAAAGGGAATGCAAAAGGCCCAAACTTGGTGCTTTGAGATGCCCAGTGCACATGCTTCTGGTCTTAGCTCTTGTGTCAGAAAGGTTTCTGTATGCTGCATATGCTGCTCACAGCTACACAGTACACCACAGGACAGAGAAGCAGCCCTTCTTTTTTTCTTTTTTTAATTGGCTTCCAAACTACATTCCTATTTTGAGATTGTTATTCCCTCTGAGAAAGTGATACTATTTAGGAGTGGCCCTCCATCAACAAGGAGGATGGTGTATTTCTCCCTGCAGAAGTGATTAATAGCCTCCTGTTGTATTTTGAGAGAGAGAGAGAGAGGGAGGGAAGGAGAGAAAGAGAAGGAGGAGAGAGAGGAGGAGAAGAGAGAGAAGAAAGAACTGTGTTGCCTTTTTCTTGTTAATAGAACTAACTCAGTTACTTCTGACAACCCAAGACAAGGAACAGCACCAAGCTTTGAAGTCCTATGGTGAACCAGTGACTTTTTATGCTTATTGGTCTTGCTTGAGTAAAAAATGTAGGTCATGGGCCAATGCTGGAAGAGAAAGGTCTGCATCATCATCTGTGGGATTAAGATTTAATTAAACCTTTAAAGTATGGGGACCTGTGCCAAGAGCTAGAGGGAATTGACAAGTAATTAAAACATGGGCCTTGCCCAGAAGGAATAGAAGTGGGAGAAGTACTCGTGGTTTTTGACAAAGCAGGTACAAGATACTACCAGCAAGTAAGGTGCTGGGGAGCTTACTTGTCACTTGGGGAAATGAGGTGGCATTTAAGCTGGGTGCGGAATAGCACTCAGGTTTTGTGGGAAAGGCAGATGGGAGAGTGCAGTTCAGGTTAAGGAGCCAGTAAAAGAACAGAGCCAGGAGGCTACAGCTGAAGTCAGAGACCATGAATGGATTGGTAGATACACCATTTCCACACACAGGCAGGGGTAGTACAGGCAATTAATCTGGAAAAAAAAGGGCAGATTATCAGATCCTAGACTGCCATGGAGTTGAACTCTACTGGAGGAGAGCCATTGTACTGCAGGAGATGCCTAGGGCTGAGGACAGTAGGTTGCTGGAAGACAGACTCACATCAGGGAGAGTATTGGCATGTTATTCTGTAATCCAGGGATATGTTGAGAAAATCCTTTCTGTACCAGCAGGACAAGTTGCCCAAACATGCAAGCCCTGGTGACATACAGTAGAAAGCATGATTTTTTTTTTTTTTTAAGAGACAGGGTCTCACTATGTTGTCCAAGGGCCCAAGCAATCCTCTTGTCTTAGCCTCCCGAGTAGCTGGAACCATAGGACTATAGTCGTATACCACCGTGCCCTGCCTAGAAAGAACATGATGAAAGGGCTGACGTGACTTCAGGGATGAAGCCACATGCTAATGGCCGGGAGCCCAGTAGAAACATGGATGTGAGGCTGGGGAGAAAGATTGGGACTAAAGAAAAAGATGTGGGAATGATATAGGTCGATGATCCCTAAAACCCCAGAAGGACCACTGTCAGTGTGGAGGAAACAGGGAATGAGCAAAATGTCTAGAGTGGCGGGGGTGGGGGGAATGTTGCTTTATTGTTTTGGGGTAGGAGATTTCAGCATCTTTACAGGAGGAAGATTTATAAAACTGCTGTTTAAATAAATAGAGACTAAAAAATAAATGGGGCTAATGGCTCCATCAGAGTCCTGAAGATGGGGGAGGAATCATTCAAACAGAGGCAGAAATGCAGGATTTGTCATGGAAAGGCTGAAGGAGGAGATGGGTGAAGATGACATGTCATGAAGGGAGGACAGTTGGGGTCATTTGTGGTGAGGGTGACTTGTATTTGTCTTAAGAAAGTAAAAGATAAAGCATGTTGCTAGAAGTGGATCTGGGTCTTGAAGACAATAAAAACAGAATAGCAACTTGAAGGAGGTTATCTGCATTCATTAAAAAAATCTGGTGTAAGAGGCTGCTCACCCTATTTGCTATCCTGTTAGATGCAGATGAAAAACAAATTGGAGAACAGAAGGAAGATGAAAATGTGTGGAACCAACATTTAAAAGAACGAAGGCAGAGAGAAGAAAGAAGACAGAGTGATCGGCAAGAAGCTCTAGAAAAGGAACGAAGAGAACTTGAAAAACTGGATCAGGAGAGGGTAATATGTGTAACTTAAGTCTGTTCTCCACTGATGCCTTCAGAAGGTTCCTTGAGCTCCAAGAGGTGAGCCAGTAGTGTTCCTAAGTCAGAGAAGTGACAGGTAGCTGAAAAGGCATCCCGGTCCTCTCCTTGTCATACTAGCATGAGAAGGGCTACAGAGACACACTGTCTGAGTGCTGTTGTGGTAAAGGACAGTTTTTGAAAGCACTTTCGCATACTCTTTCAGCTGATCTTTAAAACAAGCCCATAGGATTGGCAGGCTAGGCTTTGCTGTAGAACTTCCCTTTGTTAAGGAGGAGGCAGCCAAGGTCAGGTAGTGGGGATGAAAAAAGCCAGAGGAGGAGGTGGCTGCCGGTTCACAGCTACTTCCAGGGATACATACTGCCTTCTCCTTCCTCTAATTCTCTTCTTGTCTTCTGTGTCCTGATTCTGCTCCTGGGCAGATAGATTACTCTGGCATTTAACATTCTATGTGAATGTTCTTTGGACTCCTTGTTAATTTGGATTTAAAAGCACAGGCTACTTGAGGCAAATTAATGCATTCCTTTCTTAAGGTGATATGTTTGTGTCTCATCGAGAGTAGTAATGGCTTCAATCCATATATCTATAGTTCTCTGACATGCAAGTTGTACTTACAGGATTAGAATTATGTTACTATGTTTTTTAAACTCAAAAGCTTTTAAAACGTAGTTATTCTACTCTGTCACTCCTCTATCTTATAGAGAATGATTGAAGAATCACTGAAGATTGAAATGGGAACAGAATTAGAAACAAGTGTTCACGAAATGAAAGACAAATCTGCTCATAATGAAAATCCTTTAGAGAAATACATGAAAATCATCCAGCAGGGACAAAATCAAGAATCTGCAGATAAGGTGCCTGCGCTGTGGACAGGGTAATCTGTGGGTGGCAAAGGAATAAGAGATGCTTAGAGGTTCTATGATTTATTTTAAAACCTTGGGAGAGGACTGGAGGTGTGGTTCAAGTGGTAGAGCGCCTGCCTAGCAAGCATGAGGCCCTGAGTTTAAACCCCAGTACTGCCAAAAAAAATAAAATAAACCTTGGAACAAAATCTGTCTTTTAAATTGAAGACAAAAAAAATTAAAAGTGTAGAAAAGCCATACTTCAAATGGAGCCTTGAATCTTTTAAACATACTACACTTTTGACAAAATTTCAGTTTTGGCTGGGGGCATGGCTCAAGTGGTAGAGTGTCTGCCTAACAAGTACCAAACCCTGAGTTCAACCCCTGTACCAGGGGAGATTGTTTTGGCTTGCTTAAAACACTACAGAGATTTTGGTTTGTCTGAGTTTGTATAGGTTGAAATGTCTTATTAAAAACAATGCTGTCCTCAAATAACAAATGCATTAATTGTCAGACATTAAGTTTTTGTAAGTCTGAATTATAGGTGTTGAAAATGTGTGCTGTAGTTTGTTGATGTGCCTGCTATTTTCACAGTAAAGATTCTTTTTTAGACTCTTATATTATATATATTTCAAAAATAGTTCTAGAGAAATTAAAGTGCTTCAAAAAATTAACTCACCTAATTTCAAAATTCTTCTACCCTCATGTCAGGGCTCAAAAAACATGGTCAGAGAATGCTCACTAATGGACACACTGCCATCTAGTGATAAGGATGAAAGGTATGGTTTCCCCAAACACCGTTCCTTAAGCAAACCATTATTGCTCATATAGTCAGTCAAATATTTAGAAATTAATCGGTCAAAATTACTGACTTCAAAGCTGGGTATGTCAGAATAGGCCTGTAATCCCAGCACTCAGTCTGAGATAGGAGGATCATGAATTTGAGGCTAACCTGGGTTACATTGTAAGACCATCTTACTGGTGGGGGGGGGGGAACCCTGCAAAAAAAGTCCATTGTGATCTTTTAACTTGTGAAATTGATCCTGATACTAATTATAAAAGTGAGGGCAGAAACCCCACAGAAGGAAGGACATTATGAAGATCTTAAACTTGACGTGAATTTTCTTTTATCTTAGTTTTACAGGCTTTTCTCATGAAGAACAAGATGACATCTGGTAATCACGTGAGCTGTCTGGCTTCTTACAATGATGAGAAGTTATATAACATGCAGTCCTTTTTAAATGTTTCTCTGTAATCACACAAAGTTCTCAATAAAAACTGTAATCTAATGATTTTTACATTATTTTATTTGGTACTGTACGAATTAAGAATAACCTAGTCAAGTGAAATCCCTTCTCCAGCCATAGAATTCTCATTACACTAAACTGAATTTCTCATTTGTCGTCTTAGGTCATACTAAAACTATCTTGCTGGTCAAACTCTAGGCCTACATTTTGAAAGTCTTAAGCTATGTGCTTGCCCCTCCAGAGTTGGGCTGTAACCTATAAAACAGGAGGCCATCTTCCCCAGAACTGTTTTCTCCCTGTACATACAGTTTTTTCCATTCTAGGCTCTAGAAATAGTACTTTGAACATCTATGATTCAAATGTATGCATCCCTCCAAAATCCATATGCTGTAATATAAACCTAAATGTGATGGTATTAAAGAGGTAGGCCTTTAAGAGGTGATTAAGTCATGAGGGCAGAGTCCTCTGAATAGGATTAATGTCTTTATAAAAGTGCCTGGAGGGAATTAGCTAGGCTCTTTTGCCCTTTCACCATTTGAAGACACGCATTCATCCCCTTCGAAGGACACAGCAAGGTACCATTGTGGAAGCAGAGACCTGGCCCTCACTAGCCAGGCAACCTGCCAGCACTTTGATCTTGGACTCCCCAGCCTCAAAAACTAAGAAATAATATACTTCTGCTCATTATAAGTTGCCCAGTCTAAAGTATTTCGTTATCGCAGCCAGAACAGACTGAGATAAGTTGTATGGAAGCTTTGGTCTTTATTTTTAATAAATGAACTTAAAGTATTTTATTTGTTGGCTTTTTAAACAAGTAGGTATCTTCAATCTAACTCCATTTTCATCTCCCTAAAAGTTTTGCAGGGGGTGATGGGGGAAAAACCTGTGCCTTCCAGAGGTTCCTACATTTGATAGCAGGATTACTGTCAATAATTAAGAGACTGCTTATGATTTTGTCCAACCATTTATTCAGGAGACTCATGTGACTTCTGTGAATGCACAAAGTGCTACTTAAATGGAAGGTACTAGTGTTGCAAATAGCATGCTAATTGGGCTCCTGCTAGGTCTCTTGCCGTGCATGAAGGAAGGGCAGTGATCCAGAGTCAGCACCTCCTTCAGAAATATCAATGTGTCAGTAATGACAAAGACTGGTCCTCACTAAGAAAGGTCAGATGTAGAAAATCCAAATGCATAATCACACTGTAAGAGACATAGCTTTTAAAAATTATAAAATGAAATTTTAAGCAACAGATTTAGCTCCCTTGCTTCAGAGAATAACTGTTAAAACTAGATTTTGTTATATTCCTGAATAAGTCATCCTACAGAGACATTTATACTTTAGGTTTGAAAATTAGCCAACAGTACATGAACCCTTATTAAGGCTCCCCATGATTTGTAGTTTGCCCAAGATTAAGCCTTGTGTTAATCCTGTAGGTAGGTGGCTTTTATTTATTGGAGATACTAGTGAGAAAAATCCTGTACTTTTCACAGATCTGTATGTTATGCGAAATACAGCCCAGTGGGTTACAATATTTTCTCAAATTGCTCTCATTGAAAATAGAGATTCTGGTGAGAAATAAAATATGTAGCACTCTCTCATGGACTAGATTTCTATACAAATGTGAAATCTCGATTATACATCTTATTTAAAAAATGACACCATACTGAGAACAAGAGAAAGATAGAATTTATGTATGGTAAAAAGGCAAGCAAGTGAAGCTATAATTTTATTTCATTACTCTTAGTACATCCACAACTATTTCCACCTAAATAGATCTTTAAAATAAGCATACACAAGTATTGACTATTATCTACAAATATTTATTGTAACACTTGAATAAACTACAGGAAGCCCTTGGCACTGATAGAAAATATTGATTCACTGTTAGGTTACAAAAATTTATACATAGCAAAATTTAATGCTCTTTACATAAAAAATATTAGACTACTTCAACAAAACTTTCAAAAATTCTTGGTAATAGCTACCAGAATTAGAAAAGTAAAATTAGGCTTTAGACACTGCCTCTTCTAGAACACTGGACTCTTAACAGCACCTCCACTGCTGGAAAAATATTAAGTCTGTCATGCAACAGGAAAACAAAACACTAAGCTACTTTGGAACAACAGTTCTACACAGAAGAGAGCTTCTCCCAATTAAAAATAAATCCAAATAGGCATTTTTAGGCATTAACAAAAAAAAAAATCCAAGTGAATTATTATACTTGATGTTCAATTTTAATAGCATCTTGATAAGGGTATGCTTCCTTTCATTTGAATACATTTCTGCACATGTATATGTTTTTAAATCCAGGAAACAGCCAAACCACAAGTTAACTCTTAACATGAATATACATAGTTAACCCTATAGTATGCAGCCCCTTTGAAAAGCACTGATGCACCCCACAGTTATATGGATCATTTCAGAAAGAACAACACAAAGCTTACCATCACTAATACCCAGTACCCTACAGTCACTTAATGTTCTGGAACACAATGAATCGGAAGGCAAATTTCTTTTGCAAATGGCTTAAACTCAAGCAGTTCTCTTGCTGAACATCAAACATTATTACTCCAGGAAATTAAGAAAAAAATAAAATAAATACCAACCCTAATTTAAATTATTATTATTATTATTATTATTATTCAAGTCTAAAAGGAGGTTAGAGGTTTGTGGTCAGTTTGCAGTTAGGTTTTAGTTGGTATGAAACTGTAAACTCACTATCTAGACCACTTAAAAATGGTTAGAATGGTGGTCATTTTAATAAGGTAACACTTCTTAATTAAGAAAACTTTATGAAACAAAATTCTGCGAAGGATTTTAGGGTCTCTTGTTACAATATAAATTCTTAGAAATTTAAAGCAAATATTCATTAAGGCAGAGCTGACATTTATTTCCCAATAAGAATGATAATTGGGTCATTATCATTTCTTTAAAATGAAACCTGCTATAAAACGGATTCTGCAAAGCTTAACAACTCAGAATCCAGTGGTAGGTTTAGCAGAATTGTAGCTCATTTTAGCATTATTGAAAAATACATTTCTTATTGGCTCAGGAAATTAATGGACCTGGACTTGGGAAGTACTAATTTAAAAAAAAAAGTTATTTGTAAGAATCGCGTTATCTTTGAGCCAAAGTTTAATAAAGGTCAGCTGTCAAAAATGGAACTTCACATCCAATTCCACTTAATTTCTTATATAGATAACATCTGAGGACAGATGGCATATGTAAATTTATGGCCACATCTTTTGATGCTGACATGACATGGGTCCCGATCAAGGAATATGACATATTCCCATTGCTTGTCTTGGTGGAATTGCTCTTACAATAAGTGTGCACATGCCACAAATTTCAAAAGGATGAAAACCAGCATTTTGTCAAAGTGAGTGTTGCCTTTTAAAATGGCTATCATGAAACCTCCAATATCTGTTCTAAAGAAAAAGATTTACCCACTGGAAGGTTTTCCTAGAGATACATCCCAGCAGCTTGAGACAGACAGTGAAATGTTGGTACGTCTACATTAGTTTGGTGGGATACACATCTGTACTGCAGAGCAGCTGTCTGATGATTTGTCAGAGCTGTAAATTCGCCGGCTGAAACACTCTGGCAAACATTTATGTGTAAGAATTGAGTTGTTCTTTCGACCGAGACTGGATATCTTGAAGCTCCTGTTCTTCCTTTGCTTTGATATCCTGGTAAGCCTGCATTTTGCTCGCATCCTTTAAGTAAGCCCAGTTAGAAGACAGTATCATGAGGAAGTGGATCTGGAAAAGAAGGGTGAGCATGATGGCTAGTGAGCATGTGAGAAGGTAAAGCGAGCTGCTAGTCAGATTAGACGGACTCAACTGTGAAAGGGGCGAGGGTTATTTGCTATTAACACCCATTCGGCTAGCAGAGCTGGCAGACACAGAGCATGCTCTACTAGTTTGCTTCATATTAAAAGGCTGAAGAAAAGTTAGTACACAAATATAGTGAACTTGGGAAAAAATGGCCAAAGTTGTTAAGAAAAAGCAAAAATGAAATATAAGATCATGCTTTTTACCATATTGAGGGTAATTTAAAGACTGATGCAGAAATTCAGAAACACGTTGTGCTTAAGTAAGTGTGATGAAAAGGCCTATTCCACCTGTGGGTAAAAATCAATTTGCCCAAAGGCCTAGAAGTGTGAACAATGTTTATTTTGAGTAAATAATTTTAAAACTACATATTTAACATGGAAAAATTGAATGTCAAAACCAAAATTAAGAACTAAGCAAATCATGCAGTCTCTGTGATAACAAGTTTTTAGTAGTAAAACTACATTTTTTCATTTTATAACTGCCATTATTTCAGTTCACACAATGTAAAAATCCTCATTCTTTACAGTTGATATGGCACACACTTCTCTCCTGTTTATTTTCCTCATTTCCTGCAAAATAAGTCTATATCTCAATTTTTTTATATTCATACTTCCTTCTCAACGTATTTGAGACCTTCAGATCTGGGCCCAATTTCTCTTGCCATTAAAATCTCACGTGCAGTTTCAGAACTAGCAATGATGAAACAGTTACTACTCACCAAAAGAATTCAAAGTTACCAATTTTTGTGGGCTCTAAAGGAATGATTGTGTTATGCAAATATAGATATATATAATCTTTTTCCACAGAAAACAAGGGGGTTACACCCTTCTTTTTCTCCAAATTTTCATTTGGTTTATTTGAGGGAGCATTCACAGAGTAGTGAACCATGTGATCATAAAAATTGTTTAAAATCAAACTGAAAGTATATTTGCAAAATATTTTCTAGAAAGAGTGACAAAACGAAATCCACATTAAAACAGTTCTCTTCATTTTATCTTCAGCACTTGTTTTCATTTTCATCATTAAAATTGGTTATCAAGCAAGCCAAAATAACGGAAAATGCAGATATGCCAAAGCATTAATACTTCATTTAGAGATACTGCTCAAAGTTCAAGAAAATTATTTTTCAAAGGATGCTCACCAATGTCAGTAAATAACTGAATCCTTTTCAAAATGTGGAACTAGCCAGATCTCATTATTTTGTCATTATTTTGTAATTCATATACAGTAAGTCATATTATTCTACCATGCAAAAGGAGTTAACTGAAGCTATTTACAAATTACTGTAACAAAACTGCAGAAACCTAGACTCTGCTTTAGTCTGGAGTGTCAGTGATATTCACGCTACAGAGCAGAGCTCTCTAGAGCTCCTTATTGGCCTTATACAATTTAGAACTTAGTGCAGCAATCTTCCCGACTCTTAAACTTCAAAACCGCATAGTTATATGTAGTAGCCATCATGTAGATCAGCTGGTGGAAGAGAACAAAACAGGACAGTAAGATTCAGGCAGTGAGGGCTGATGTCACGACACTTCTAAGCTGGGGCAGGGATGGGTGCCAGCTCCTACATCGTCTATGGGGTTTCTTTTTCCCCACTTCCAGTCACAATAGATGATTTGCACATCTAGCACACAAACTTTCTGATCACACATATATGATGTAAGTTCTTGGCTCTGCCCTTGGTACACTTAATTAAAAAGGCTTGGATGTGTTTCAAGAATAACAAGCTGGAGAGCTGGGTCAGCAGCTGCCTACTCAGCAACAATTAGTCCTCTTCCTGCCTGTTGCTCAGCCAAGCAAACAGGTCACCACCATGATTTCAGGGGTGGGTTTTTCATATACTGTCATGGGAAGGAATGACTTAACGTTAGGAAGACTGGGAATAACTCATTTTCAAGCAGCTGAGATCTCCCCATCGCTCTATCAGTCTTAGTTGGCTCTCTTCAAATCACAAATGAAGCATCCCCAAATTACACACACACACAAATCTGAGTGTTTCTACTGTTGATTCTCATGTCTGGATTCCAAATTTGCCTACTTGCTAAAATTTATTTGTAATCACTGAATTGATACTTGAGGCACTTTCTCAGACATTAGAACACACACAGAGCAGTGAAAGATAGTCACCTAAGGCCCACCTTCCCAGCTGAGGTTCAATGAAGCCATGCTTTTTACAGCTCTCACACTGTAAACAAATGTCCTTCTGGAGCTATATATTTAGTGCCATTTTTGCATGTTTTTGTGATTTTTGTTGGTTTTGCTAAGATGATTTGTAAGAAAGCTGTGATATGCCTTACAGAGATAATGTGTTAGAGAAACATCACTCAGGCATGAGTGACAGTGATGTTGGCCATGAATTCAACAGTAGTGAATCAATAATATCTATTAAATAAGGTGTCTTTACACTGAACACACACACAAAATGTTATATACTAACAGGTTGGTGAAAATTATGTGACCAGAGGCTTACGGGAACCCTAGCCTATATTTTCATATACACAATTTCAGCATTTGAAGTGACTATAGAACATAACTATTATGCTTAAGGAGATCAATTATATATGTATACATGCATATTTCAAAATACGCATATTTCTATTTGGAGTTAAGATTTCTTTGCCAAAAAAATGGGCAGTCTCTTGTGAGCATCTATCCATGAATGAAATCATGAAACTAAGTGCTAAATGTAATTCCAGGTGTGGTATCCTCTCTTCTTTCCACAGAGTTCAAATTACATCACCTATAATCGGTGCTAAGGCAGCCTCTAGTGCGTCCTGCAAACTCGACATGTAGTATAAGTTTACACACGATGAGTACATGGATTATTTGTTTCAGTAGGTTGATAAAGGCTGAAAGGGAAATCTGTCATTTGGAGGCTGGGGGTAGGGGAGCTAGACTAGGATGGTCCCGAGGCAGTTACTCACCAGGGCAATGACGGTGGCACCAGCTCCAGCACAGGCCACAATGAACAGGTGATAGGACATGTAGAACTAGGAAAGAACAGGGCACCATCATGAGCATTTTATGTGGAATGAAATGGCCTACCTGCATTCTGGGGTACTGCATCATCCTCCCTTGCGGCTATTCTCTGCAAAGTTGGGTGCAGATCTGCATTCCCTTAGAGCACTTGTTGCACATTGGAGTCACCTGGGGAGCTTTAAAAACTTTCTGATGCCCAGGCTCCAGCCAGACCAATGGAATCTAAGCACTTGGGAACTGGGCCTCAGCCATCAGCCATCGTTATGTATATTATAACCCTCCCTTGATGACTGCAGTGTATAGCTGAGATTAAGAGGCTGTGCTTGGAGCCAATCCATATTATAGATCTACAAACTGACAAGCCAGATAAGGTAGAGGCTGATTTTCTGTAACTCAGTGCTTTCCAAAAACACATCAATATTTTCTGAGATATGCAAGCTCCCAGCAGTGCATTTAAGAATTTTGTTTTGGGAGGCAGGGAGCTAAAGGAGAATGATGGAATTTTACTAAGACATATTATAAGCACTTTTGAAAATATCACAATGTACCCCCGGCACAACAAAAATATGCTAATAAAATTTTTAAAGAAAAAAAAAAAAAAGAATTTGTTTTATAAACAGTTGTAAGCCTAAAGAATATTCTGGGGTTGAGACAGTTTAAACTGAAGCATTAGAGAAATAACATCAAGTTGTTATGGAAATATAAATGATTAAATGATTGACTGTGACTTTGAGGGAGAGGGAGTACTGAGGGTTGAACTCAGGACCTTATACTTGCTAGGAAAGCGCTCTACCACTTGAGTTCCACCTCCAGTCCCAATTTTACATTTTTCTGTGATAAGTGTACTACTTTGAAAAACTTTGTGAAGGGAAAAAGAAGAACTGATTCTCAGATTAGTAGATTTAGGGTCTCCCCTAAACTATTGTCCTGAGGAAAAGCTCACTGGTTCCTAAGGATCCTCACTAAATCGGCTGAACCATATAAAATGACCATTTTTGTAGGTAGAAAATGATTGAATAGCAACGGTTACATAGAGTTTAATGAAGGGTCTACATAAAAGGGCTTTTCTTAATAGCATTTGGACCATCTTTCTTGTTCTTTCCAGCTAGGAGAACCTTTTCTCAGCCTATGGTATGGGGCCATCCTGTATAGGATGTGACAGGTTTACCTCATTTGTGTTGCAGATGTTCTCTAGGGCCGAGCCACATATTTTTCCTGGGAAAGCATTCCAAGGAATAATACCTGCAAAGTAAAATCCAGAAGAATATGAAGCAAACTACAGTACCTCATGGTTTGCTTTGGGTTTTTTTTGTTTGTTTGTTTTGTTGTGCTGGGGCTCGAACCCAGGCCCTCCGTGTACTACCACTCAGGTACATCCCCTCCCCACCTCATGTTCTTAACAGACCTCACACTTTGGAAGGCAGTTACAATATAATTGTAGGCTATGTTCCTCATCAATGATTGAAGTATCTGCTGTCTGCAGAGCAGGCATTTGGGAATAAAGAGTAAGTCTCATCTGGACAATAGAGTAAGAACAAAGTCTACTCATCCACGAGCAATTTAAACATCTTGACTTTGTTCAAAGGAGCTGATATTTGTAAAAGTCAGATTTTCAAAGCTAGGTTTTCCCTATAATGAATTTATCAGCTATTGCTAAACACCTGTAAGATGGCCCCTCACAAAGCATTGTATCATGTAGAGAGCAGGTAAACTGCCACCTGAAGGTCTAGTCTGTGGCCTAGCCTCAGACTATTCTTTGTTAGTGCTCAGCCATGAACTACATTCTGAAACCTAGAGGACACACTCAGAAGTTTTTGTGGCAACTTGATAGAGTATGGTATTTGAATTCAATAAGACACTTTGGATTTATAGTTTATATGTTTGTGTTGGGACTATTTTTGGATTGAAGATCAAAATGGGTGGGGGGTGGGGGTGGGAGGAAAAACACCAGTGTCTTTTGCCCCAGAGGCTGGGACATGTACTGTTTGTGGTGTCTTTCTCATTGTAACTCCAAGTCCCTCCCCTTCAGTGACAACTGTCCATTGGGATGCTTTTTTCCCCCTTGATGCGTAAGTGTATGATTATATATTAAGCTCCATTTACACTTCTCCCAGGAAGTAAGGAAGGAATATTAAAGGAAAAACAAAGTCCTTATTCCCTCCATCCCCATCCCTGACATGGGCCAAAAGTAAATATTTCTGCCTTGGAAGAATGGGAAATTGTCACTGAAAGCAGTGATTTCATGAACAACTGGTTAGGTAAATACAGAAAGTTATGAAAAATTTGTGGTGAAAATTTTTTTTAAGGAGAAGAGAAATGCTAAGACATTTAAATATTCCTTTATGAATACTTTCAAAACCAACTCGAGGCTTTGTTTTTAAATCCATTCTAGGGAACAGTGTTGTTAGGCCTGGGTCTTTTTGAGAAGAGGTTACGTTTGGTGGGTAGTTTTAGGTGAGTTTCAGTCTACATTTTAAGATGAGACACTGAGAATAAGCCACATGAGAAAACCAAGAAGCAAAAGTAAAATAGTCATTTCTCTCCAGAAAAGCTCTGCAAGAACAATTATCTCCTCTTGGATTCTAACGAAAAGCTTTCTTCCTTCCTAGCTACTTGTACCAAGAGTGGATTTCCCACTATCCCAGTCAAAAGCAGTAATTAAGACTCCTCCTTAGGATGCTGCTTCTCTCCCATAGCAGAGAAGTCAAGTTCCAAATGAACTGACAGGAGGAGCCAATGGCCCACTCTGTAGCTTGTCACAAGGAACCAACCTTAGTTCCCCGTTGTGAAGATCCTATTCATTAGAAAGGGTATTTGAACCAGTTTCTAACAGCTGAAGGCAGTTTGCCTGATGACTTTGAAGTATGTCCGAATTTTATGTTTAGTTTTTCAGTACAGATGAAGTTTATGCAACTGGTCATTTTGAAAGACTTGATTTAAAGAGTTGCATGTGCAGATTAACTGGATTGTATGATATCAATATTGTAGGTGAAGTCAGTTATAAAACTGAAATTAAAGAATATAGAAATAAATTTTTTATAGTGGATCTCCAAAAGTCTTGTTTGATTGTCCTGCACTAGAAAGTACCTTTGCATTATAAAAAGCTTCTTTATACACATGGAAATATCACAATGAAACACCCTGTATAACTGTCTTAAACAAAAATGTCTTGTTTTCAAAAATAACAGGAAAGCAAAACAGGTCCTGTCTTGGGGGCTGGAACCAGTGGGAGGGGGGAGGACATAAGGAAAGGGTGTGGGAGGGTGAATATGGTGGAATATTATGCACTCATGTATGAAAATGGAAAAATGAGACCTGTTGAAGCTATTCCAGGAACGGAGGGAGGGGGGATAAAGGAGAATGATGCAGGGGGTGAATTCGACTATGATATATTGTAAGAACTTTGGTAAATGTCATGATATATCCCCAGTACAATAATCTAATAAATTTTTAAAAAGCTTCTTTTACTACACATTGAACTTGAAAATACAACAGAATCTTGAATGATACCCTCTAGCAAGGAAGAAGCTCAAGGATGCTTCCATCCAGAAAACTGAGCATATTGAGGGAAAGAATGTAAGCTATTCAAAAGAAGAATGTAGTGAAAAAAGTTACGATTATTTAAAAGATGCCTGCCCGTGTGATAACTGAGTTCCAGACATATGCACAAGAGGATAAAGAATTAATGGGAACAGGATTAAAAGATGTACCATATTGTCGGACATCCACACAGATCTGCTCCACACCCGTGGTCCCGTTGGTCTGCGGTGACTTGATGACTTCGCAAGTTGACCATATGTTATAGAACATAAACACAGGCACCGCTGAGAAACCAAACACGCCTAGCCAGGCCACTCCCAGCACGTAGGTGAGGAAAACAAACTAGGCAGAAAACGGGAGGAGGGGGAAAAAAATCATTGAAACAAGCAGGTGCACGTCCCAGACAGAGGAAGGACTGTGCATTTCTGAGCCCAGTACCAAAGCTATGGATGCAGGATGCACCCTGGGGGGGCCTCACCCAGCTATGGCAATGAGAAGGAAATGCCAGTGCAGCATGGGGGAGCAGAGGAAGCCAGATCTGGCCATGTTCCTCACAAAGGATCTAGGATAGCGGCATCCCAAGACACCTCAGGGACTTTTTGAGGCTCCTCTTTTAACCATCAAGGACATGAGACCCCAAAAGTGACCTTATATGTCCAAGGTCACAGAGTAAACTAGTGACAGGGCCTCCCACAAAGTACTCTTTCTTTTTTTCTTTTTTTTTTTTTTGATAAAAAAATGTTCATTCAGTAAAGTAGCACAAAGAAGAACAAAGCACATAGAATGTGTCTGTTTTGTCATCCCCCCCCATTCGCTCCCTCTTCCCAAATAGTCCCTTTTCCACTTTCATGGTTTTTTTTTTAATTCTAGGTTCCACCCATGAAAGAAAGCATGATAATCTGTCTGAATGATGATCCCCAGTTCCATTTTCCTGAAAATGACAATTTCATTCTTTTTATGGCTACATAATACTCCTTTGTGTATATATACCACATTTTCTTTTTCTTTACCCTTTTATCCATTCATTGGCACCTAGACTGATTCCATATCTTAGCTTGGCTATTGTGAACAGTGCTACAGCAAACATGGGTGTGCAGGTCTTTACATGCTGACTTACATTCATTTGGGTATACGCCCAGACACTGTATCTAATCATATAGTAGTTCTATTTTTAGTTTTTTGAGGAATCTTCATACTAGTGGTTCCACCAGTAGTGGCTGAACTAATTTGCATTCCCAACAAGGTTTTTTTTTTTTTTTTTTTTTTTGGTAGAACTGGGGTTTGATCTCAGGGCCCCACACTTGCTAGGCAGGCAGTCAACTACTTGAGCCACTTCACCAGCCTTTTTTAGTTATTTTTCAGATAGAATCTTGCATTTTTGCAAGGGGCCAGCCTCAAAATGAAATCGTTTTATCTACAGCCTCCCACAGAGCTGGGATCAGAAGAGTACACCATGATACCCAGTTTGTTGGTCAAGATGTGATCTCAAGTTTTTTTTTGCCCAGACTGGTCTCTAACCTCTATCTTCCTGATCTTTTTCTCCTGAATAACTGGGATTACAGATGTGTACCACCACGCCTGGCACAAGATGCTCTTACTATACATCTGTTCCCAAAACTCTGAGCGTCCTACCCAACATTAGACAGGTTCAGAATGGTCGCACAGGCCACAGAATTACAATGAAACATTAATTTCTCGGAACTTACCTTTGTTTTACAATATACGTGTGTCTGGAAAAATAGCACCTGCTACAGGAAGCCTTCTCTCAAAAGGAACTTTGTTAGTCTCCTAACCCTGTGAAATTACTAAAAGCATTAGATGCTTAAACCCTTATCGGCAGTTTCGAATGGTCATGAACACAAGCTGAGTGCACAGTGAATCTGCTGTTTCTGCTTTTCCTTTGGTTTTCTTTCATCTCTAACATTCACAACAGCTTTGCAAGCAAAGCAGTGGCTTATCACAATTCCAGTAAGAATATAATCCTCGCCTTCACTACCACTTTTCAGAGAGCTTTGAAGGCTGCCTCAAGCAAGTTATGACGTTTCTGTTCTCAGAGCATGCACCCACAGGCCGTGTGGGCAGACCTGAAGATCTCCTACTTTGTTATTTTTTAAGCTAATGGTGAAGGCCTGAGGATTCTGCCTAACTTTTTATACTGCTGGAGATACCTGACCAGAGGGAGGCCACGCCGGGGTGAGGCTCAAATGACTGCTTCCTATTGGTCACCCTGGGAAACTGCAGAAACAAGGCACTTTGTCCTTTGCTTTCAAGGACATTTATGGGTTTTTTTTTGAAGTGTTTGCATTTTTAAAACTATTCAAAGCAGCACATTTGAGTAGTTTCACCTCCCCTTTCTCCACTAAGGCTTCTCCAGAGGAGGGTTTCATTTTCTTTTCCCCTCAAAGGAAAACCCTACACTCTAATAACACCATAAGGACATGAGGTGGTGGTGGTGGTGGCGGCGGCTTTGGGGAGGCTTCCCTTCTCCTGGAAGGCCAGTGCCCCATGGAAAGAGCCCCCTGAGTCAGGGAGGCTGGTCCTGTCACAGGGGCTCCAGCATTCAAAGCTGCTTCCTTAGTGGGCTCTGGGCACCAGTCTCCCCTAAAAGACCTAGGAGAACAAGGTGTTCGCGAACAGAAGGGCGTCATCATCTCCCACCTCACACAACTCAAATGGCGGACACAGGGTCTGAGGCTGGAGTCTGAGCAGAACCAGCAGGGGGCTGGGCACAGCAACCTGTATGTAAATCAGTGTGAAGTGGCTGCCAGCCATGTTCAGATATCCTGGGGAAGAGACCCAGCTCCAGGTGCCAGTCGCCACAGCCTCTAGGGTGTGGGCTCTGATGGCCTGTGAGCCTGGAAACAGGGAGTAATGACACACAGGTAGGATCTGAGGCTACATCAAATGATCTGAAGCCTTTGGAGACATCTCCTTGGCTACTTCCTTCTTGAACTCCAAGACGTTAATTCCCTCTCTCTGGCTATTCTTCCTCAGTTTCCCAACTAGGAATCCTTCTTGACTTTCCCAGCAGATGGTGTCCTGCTCCAGGACTCCCCCTGCACAAACCTTTTCCGTGAATTTGTTCACTGCCACCACCCTTACTTCAGAGAACTTCAGAATGTTCTCAGAAACCCCAGCTCCAAGCCTCTATGTACCATGCTGGCTAATCCAACCTGGCCAATCCACCTGGCTCTCCATGGCCACATCAAGCCCTGATGGGTCACACTGAATCCACCCTCCTCAGCATGGTACCAAGCCAGACTTGGCACTCATTCCCTCCTCTCATCCTTACTCCTGCTGACCAAACCCAGAGCCCCTCTCCAGCCCACTGTCAGGGCCTAGTTCACATGTACACAGTTGCTCATCTGAGCCTTTCGATGGCCCCTTGCAAACCTCTCTCTCTCTCAATCCACCCTCCATGCCACTTAAGAGACTAGAGGCCTTACATGGTCACATCACTACCCTACTTATCTTTGTCTATCAATTTCATACCCAGCCTGGTAGGCAAGGCCTTTCTGATCTGTCCCTGTTCCTCTCAAGTGGTGCTATTTTCCTCCTTTGCCACATCCTTCCCTTCCAGCCTGGTCACCTGACTGGACCCCACTTTTCCAGGCCTCCCTGTTCTGCTCATGCTGGTTCTTCTTCCCCAAGAATTTCCTCTGCTTTGCCCTGGCACAAAGCCCTCGCTGATTCTCCACCAAGCAGCAGAGCCCCTGTCCCTGGGCCCCCTGCCACCGCTGACTGTCTGGCCAAGGACACAGAAACTGAGCAGAAACCCAGGGCCAGGCGGAGAAGCAGCTGGAACAGCTTGTGTCAGCATGGTTTCTGCAGGCTCTAAGGGCCCCTTCTGGGGCTAGTGACATGTCTGCCCAAGGCAGGATCACATTTACGTTAAGAAATTTGAAAAAATATACTATGGAGAAATAGCAGCCTCTTCAACAAAAACTGCTGGGAAAACTGGTTAGCAGTCTGCAAAAAACTGAAACTAGATCCATGTATATCACCCTATACCAAGATTAACTCAAAATGGATCAAGGATCTTAATATCAGACCACAAACTCTAAAGTTGATACAGGAAAGAGTAGGAAATACTCTGGAGTTAGTAGGTATAGGTAAGAACTTTCTCAACGAAACCCCAGCAGCACAGCAACTAAGAGACAGCATAGATAAATGGGACCTCATAAAGCTAAAAAGCTTTCACCAAAAGAAATGGTCTCTAAACTGAAGAGAACACCCACAGAGTGGGAGAAAATATTTGCCAATTATACATCAGACAAAGGACTGATAACCAGAATATACAGGGAACTTAAAAAACTAAATTCTCCCAAAACTAATGAACCAATAAAGAAATGGGCATGTGAACTAAACAGAACTTTCTCAAAAGAAGAAATTCAAATGGCCAGAAAACACATGAAAAAATGCTCACCATCTCTAGCAATAAAGGAAATGCAAATTAAAACCACACTAAGATTCCACCTCACCCCTGTTAGAATAGCCATCATCAGCAACACCACCAACAACAGGTGTTGGCGAGGATGCGGGGAAAAAGGAACCCTCTTACACTGTTGGTGGGAATGTAGACTAGTACAACCACTCTGGAAAAAAATTTGGAGGCTACTTAAAAAGCTGGACATCGATCTACCATTTGATCCAGCAATACCACTCTTGGGGATATACCCAAAATACTGTTACTCCAGAGGCACCTGCACATCCATGTTTATTGCGGCACTATTCACAATAGCCAAGTTATGGAAACAGCCAAGATGCCCCACCACTGACGAATGGATTAAGAAAATGTGGTATCTATACACAATGGAATTTTATGCAGCCATGAAGAAGAACGAAATGTTATCATTCGCTGGTAAATGGATGGAATTGGAGAACATCATTCTGAGTGAGGTTAGCCTGGCTCAAAAGACCAAAAATCGTATGTTCTCCCTCATATGTGGACATTAGATCAAGGGCAAACACAACAAGGGGATTGGACTATGAGCACATGATAAAAGCGAGAGCACACAAGGGAGGGGTGAGGATAGGTAAGACACCTAAAAAACTAGCTAGCATTTGTTGCCCTTAATGCAGAGAAACTAAAGCAGATACCTTAAAGCAACTGAGGCCAATAGGAAAAGGGGACCAGGAACTAGAGAAAAGGTTAGATCAAAAAGAATTAACCTAGAAGGTAACACCCACGCACAGGAAATCAATGTGAGTCAATGCCCTGTATAGCTATCCTTATCTCAACCAGCAAAACCCCTTGTTCCTTCCTATTATTGCTTATACTCTCTCTACAACAAAATTAGAGATAAGGGCAAAATAGTTTCTGCTGGGTATTGAGGGGGGGAGCGGGAGGGGGTGGAGTGGGTGGTAAGGGAGGGGGTGGGGTCAGGGGGGAGAAATGAACCAAGCCTTGTATGCACACATGAATAATAAAAGAAAAATGAAAAAAAAAAAGAAATTTGATGTGCTCTCTGTCATAGTCCCTACGCTCCCTTCATGCCCAGGTTCAGACTACAGCGTCAAAGTCACAGAGAATTCAACCCCAATCAGCATGCCGCCATCAGGAGAATTGTGACCAGTGGGCTCCCCTAGTGCTGAAAGCCAGACTCACGTCCTCTCCTCCCTGACAATGGGGCTCAGTCAGCACCCCACATACCAGAGAGCCATGGAGCCCACTCATGAGGGCAAACACTTTCCTCACAGGAGGGAAGCCCAACATTTCTTCCACAGCATTAGTGCTGCTCTCAGGCTCCCCAAATGTTGTCTTTATACCTGATCGGTCTTTCAAATGTCACACCTACATGCACAGCTGCCTGTGAGATATTGTGATGTTACTATGCCTTTCCAAACTCAAATTCAAAACATGTAAGGGTTAGGGATATAGCTCAGTGGTAGAGCGTTTTCCTAGCATGTGCAAGGCCCTGGGTTTAATCCCCAGCACCACAAAAAAAAAAAAAAAGAAAAGAAAAGAAAAAACATGTAAGTATTAATGCTTAGAAAAACCTCAAATGCAGTATGCCAAAATCTGAACCTATACCCATCCATGCTTCTGCCCTCCTTCCTCCACTGGGGTTTCCTTGATCTAACAGCACTTTTAACTCGTCTTTTTAATTTGCTATTTAACATTATCTTTCTTGTAGCACCAGCTAATACATATTAAAGACCAGAAAGAAATCAGGGCTGGTTTTGCAGGTCACTGTCATACGAAAGCAGCCACAGACCAGTCACAAAGGCATCCACGTAGCTGGCCACCAGAAAAACTTTTCATGTTCATCCACAAACAAAATTTCGTGAATTTTCACAATCATGAAATATTCATTGTCTCTTTCTAAGTATTCTAGAGATAATAAAAAAACCTTCTTCTGATCTGCTTTGACCTATTACAAAACAGCAGGCCAAATCAGGCCTGCAGGCTGTTGTTCGCTACTGTCTTAGTGTGAGAGCTCAGTAATCAAGGAAGAACCCGTTTTAATCTTTGACCTCTGGTGATGAGCAAAGTTCAGTGAGATGCTTCATACAGTGTGTGCTGGTCAAAGCTTACAGAGGGATGGTGACCATCCTTCTGGCCACTATTCATAAAGACAAACAAAAGGAAACTCAGACAATCAATAGGAAGTTATCTCCTCCTATACTGGGAACTTCACATTTAAAGACTCCTCTTACCCTAATTATCTTATGTTGATAAGAAAAACATTTGGTTTAATACTACGAGTGACTTTTTTTTTCCTTTTTGGCAGTACTGAGGTTTGAACTCAGGGCCTCCGGGGTCTGGAGGTAGGCGGTTGCCTCACTAGGCAGGCACTCTACCACTTGAGCCACTCCACCAGTTCTTTTTTGTATTGGGTATTTTCTTTCCTTTTGCAGTACTAGGGCTTGAACTCAGGGCCTACACCTTGAGCCACTCCACCAGCCATTTTTTTTTTTCATTTTTCTCTATTATTCATATGGCATACAAGGCTTGCGTTCATTTCTCCCACTGCCCCCACCCCCTCCCTTACCACCCACTCCGCCCCCTCCCGCTCCCCCCAATACCCAGCAGAAACTATTTTGCCCTTATTTCTAATTTTGTTGTAGAAGAGTATAAGCAATAATAGGAAAGGAACAAGGGTTCCTGGTTGAATAAGGAAGCTATACAGGAATTGACTCACATTGATTTCCTGCGTGGGTGTTACCTCTAGGTTAATTCTTTTTGATCTCACCTTTCTCTAGTACCTGTCCCCTTTTCTTATTGGCCTCAGTTGCTTTAAGGTATCTGCTTTAGTTTCTCTGCGATAAGGGCAACAAATGCTAGCTAAGTTTTTTAGGTGTTACCTATCCTCAACCCCTCCCTTGTTGGCTCTCGCTTTTATCATGTGCTCATAGTCCAATCCCCTTGTTGTGTTTGCCCTTGATTTAATGTCCACATATGAGGGAGAACATACGATTTTTGGTCTTTTGAGCCAGGCTAACCTCACTCAGAATGATGTTGTCCAATTCCATCCATTTACCAGCGAATGATAACATTTCGTTCTTCTTCATGTCCACCAGCCATTTTTTGTGTTTGAGATAGGGTCTCAGAAACTAGTTGCCCGGGCTGGCTTCAAACCATAAACCTCCTGATCTCTGCTTCCTGAATAGCTAAGATTATAGGTGTGAGCCCCAGTCACAAATCTTAATTGATTATAATAACATATTGAAGGTTCTCAAATTCCTACCTCTACATTGGGAAGACCAATACTTGAGGCATGTACCCACTTGCCTCTCTTACACAGTTCATGGTTTTCAACAAATAGAGAGCCATGAATAGCTCTAGCTATAAGCAGACGTTTGTACTCACCATTCCACTGATGCATCGGCCACAGGCGGTGGTTTTAAACTCACCATGCAGCTCTTTCACTGCACTTGTGGTGTAAAAACCTTCTGCCAACAGAATGATGCCATACAAGAAGAAAAAGGATGCAATTCCATAGATGACATACTGCATCAGTTGTATCCTACAAAAAGAAGAGCTCTTGAAATGTTAAATTTGTTGTGTGGTACAAATGTTTTCCAGTTCTGGAGAGAAGACAGAGGTGACATTGCTATGATGTCTCCTGTAGTCTCAGTGAGCTCATGGGACATCCTGGACAGCCATCTCTGCCCACCTCATCAGCCTGGAGCTTCCTTCCAGGGCTAGTGGGTGAAGAAGACAACTTCTCAGGCAAGAGAGAAGTTTCCTCTGGTCAGGGGCAGGACCCACTTGTAACTTCTTAAGACTTACCCAAATGTTGAGTCATGATAGTTAGAATCCTCATTTGCATACAACACAGGAATTGAGGAGTTAGGTTATTCTTCTAAGCATACAGGATGACAAAACCAAGATTTGAGCTGTGGTCAATTTTTTTTTTTCTAATAGTGGGGCTTGAACTCAGGGCTCTGTGCTTGCTAGGCAGGCTCCATATGACTTGAGCCATCACTTCAGCAGTTAACATGTTCTTTTCACCAAATCAAAATGCTTCCCCCAACCATGCCTGGTAGTTGATATTATTCTGCTAAAACTCCTAAGTAACTCCTCAGGGCCTCTTTAAGGAGTACTTTGGGCAGATTTTTGCATCGAGATTCTTATTACATAAGTAAGGGTATGTCAAATAAACTTAAGTACAGAAAGCTGGGGCTGGGAACATGGCTTAAGTGATAGAGCACTTTCCTAAACATGAATAAGGTCCTGGGTTCAATCCCCAGCACCACCCCTGCAAAAAAAAAACTTACAAAACATTCATAACCAAGTTCATCTTTGAAAGTTGACAGAGACCCAGATGACAGGTCCTCAGCCATCGGTTGCCCATGGACTCACCTGGGTAACTTCAGAAAATACTGGTGTCTGGGTGGCAACCCCAGAGATTGTGACTTAACTGGTCTGGGGTGGTGAGGCATAGCCATTTGTTAAGGCATCTCAGTCCCTTGTACTGCTTAATCCCTCCTCCTAACCTCTCCACCTCCACTCATTTCTTTGGATGTTAATTGTGAACAGGTAAAAAAAGAATTCCCCACATGATTTCATTATTATTCCATAAACATCCATTTATACCTTTTCCACTCTGGAGGAGAAAGTGTTTTACAATTACAAGACTCTTTCTTGTGAAACTTTGGGATAAAAGGAAAACAAACAAAAAATGCTGATGGAATGGAGAAGGGGAAGATATTTGAAGGAAAGAAGCATATTGCAACTGAGCTTGCACAAAATTCCCCTGAGAATTATTCCAGAGTAGGAAGGCAGGGATTACTGGCTAAATGGCCAGAACTTCTGCATCAGAGAAAGTCCCAGGATTTGCAATTCTGCCAGAGGTAACATTAAGATGCTACTCCTGTAGAAAAATTGGAGTAAGTCCTCAACAGGGCTCCTATCATTGCAGGGATGGTCATTTCCTGGGAGAAACTGGAGGGGACCTGTTACTTGGGAACAATATTAACTCTGGTAAAGTGATTAGCAACATCAACCTGTCATCTTGTCACAGTTCTCCACTATTGTGTAGAGTGCCCTCTGAGTACATCCTTGCCCCACCCCGGGGCTCAAACGTCTACTACATTCTCAGCCTTTTCTTGTACCTTCTCTCATGGACTTTTTTCTATCTGCACATAGTGAGCGTTAATTAAAAGCATCAGTTTTCTACCAGGAGATGTCTTTCAGAAAACATCATGAGGTAGTCATACTTTAAATACATTTTAAAGGGAAGTAGATACATACACTTCGCTCAGCAAGGCGTGGTCACTGGTGTTCGTGGAGAAGTGTTGCTCTAGAATCGCCACGGTGCCTGCGAGAGCCACATGCCCACAGCCGCAGAACAAGGCGACTCCAGAGAAGCACAGGATGGTGGCCACCAGGGAGGCGTAGGGGACTCCTCCCAGGCACTTGATGCAGCATTCGAAGCAGCCTGGACCCAAAGAAGAGAAAAGGTAGCTGTGATAGGCCAAGGGTACCTCTGGTCTTCATGAACACCACTAATTAACATGGAAGTTCCTACTTCTCCAACTTCCCGCTCATGCTCTATGGTTAATACATCAGTATCCCAAGGAGCAGGGAGAAGGGTAATTTCCAGTCTTGCATTCTGCAGGTGAGGGCCCTGAGGCTCCAATTTAACATGTTCAGAGTCTGGAAGGGTAGTGGGTGGCAGAGCAGTCAACTGACAAACAGTTACAAAGCATGTCACAGTTCTAGGGCTTCCTGGGGGAAGGGAGCGTGGAGGGGCCCCTGCCCAAGTAACAATGAGGAACACTCATTTCACTACACAGCCAAAAGAGAGCAACAGTGAAGCTGCAGGTCTGTGAGGAAAAGCGACAGTCAGGCTTTCTCCAAACTCAGCCTTCTGGGGTTTTAAGTGTATCTACTGCTGTAGCAGCCAGTGGCTTTCTCCAAGCCCTTAACCTTGGAACTGGAAGATTCCAATGCAATAATTACACTGCTGCCAGGTTTGGAAAAATATCAAGGGGGTCATTTTGGAAAGAACATAGGTATCTGGGTCCCCAGTTTAGTGAAGTGCAAAGTCACCAAGATCCACTCAAATTGGTCCATTCAAGTTTCATTCAAGTTGATATCAGAAATTACCCCAACCTTTTCATAAAACTGTTCCCCCCCCAGCCCGGGCAGCACAAGTAATTCATTCATAGTCATCCTCCTCCTACCGGGCTTCCATCTGCCCCTTTCCCCGACACACACATTATGCTCATAGTTAGAACCCAGACCCAATGGGTGATATTTAGGTACTTGAAGGGGAAAAAAAGAAAGGAAAAAAAAAAGACAAAATGAGCATCCATGAAGTGAAATGAAGGAGATAGAGCCATACTTCACATTTAATCTTAAGAATAGATTCTTACTCATTTTTAAAATAAACTTTGAGACATCCATAAAGGTCTCTCTGACAGTCAGAGCGAGGTGACATTTTCAATTTGGAGACATTTATGTCTTAGGTACAGCAGTGCTGGCCTCAGGACACTCTCAGTACCTCTCCTGACTTCCCATTCTTGCTTACGTTAGCCAGAGCCCTCAGTAAATGGCTTGTCAGGGAAATTGAACTTTAAATGTGTTAAGATGTTTAACAGCAATCAAGAGCAATTCATTACTTCGGGGCAAGCACATTAAGCAGTTAGATTTGTTTCCCTGAAATGATCTTCATAGTGTTCAGGGAATGAAATCCCAGAATAATACACCAAGATGAATTCTTCCGTTTGGATGAGGATCCAATTTGAAATTAGCATTTGCTTAAACTTACCACGGAGTGACTCCAGACCCTCATCACCAGATTTCTCTTTGGTTCATTAGAAAATACAAAATGTCAGGGTTTCATAAGAAGCCTGTGCTTCCTTCTTCAAAAGATGACCAGCTGTTTTTAGGAAGACCATTCGCCTCAAAACAGATTTCCAAACTTCATAAAATAGGAACCAGTGCACAATATGGCTCAAGTTTACCAGCAGGCTGATACCTTAAAGAGCTTTGGACACTTGGGATTTGTAAACAGGAATGATGGAGTTCAATCTTATTTTGTTATATGCCTTTCTGGGGACTGGAGTGAGAGAAATGCAACTAAAGAGAAAATTTTCTCCAGGCTCCCAAACCAAGAGAAATCAACATCCTTGGTCTGAGTGTATCCCACTAAATAAACAGAAACTGCACCTGTGTGTGGGGTGCATGTGTGTGTGTGTGTGTATGTACTCACAACTTCACCCTATTCTCAGTCTTTATGATGGTGGGAAGAACAAGATGAATGCCTTACTTTCCTGGCTAATGCATCTATGTCTGGTCCTTACTGAACAGAGCTGTGTGGCCTTGGGACTGTGCTGTCCAATAAAGTAGCCACTAGCACATAAGGCAGTTTAAGTTATTTAATAAAAGGAAAAATTCAAGGCCTCGGTTGCACTGGCCACATTACCTGTAGTAACCATTCGTGCTATTGGCTACCATAATGGACAACACAGACACAAATGTTTCATCATCACAGAACGCTGCTTTGGAAGACAAATTTTGACATGTCATGTATTGGGTTTTCTGTAATGTGAACTGAGTTCTAGCCATGTTTTTTTGGATTTTATGACTTCGGTACTTTTGAAGACCTATTGGGTGGTACCAAGCATTGGGCTAGACATCCAAGATACAAATCTGAAATAAAGACACTTCACCTTCAAGATCAGTCTAATGCTGCAGGCAACATATTCATTATAGTATAACATAATGAGGGCCAGGATACAGACTGATGGAGAGCCAGTTGAGGAGGATGAAGAGGGGGAAAGGGAAGGATGAAAGGGAGTACTATTCATACTGGAGAGGGGGCAGGAAGGCTTTGTACAGAAAGACATAGTATGTTGAGTAAGCAATTGACGTGACGGTGATATATAACCTGATAAAATGCTCATTAACTTCTGGATATTTTTATTTTATATATATATATAAATTAACCACATCCTTTTTCTTCATTTGTTAGGGCTAGGTATTATGGTACAGCACCTTCACCCTTTAATAATAGAACTCATCCTTCCAAATTCACAGTTGCTACTTCAAAAGGAACTTTCACCCAAAGGGTTAGAGCATTCTGCTTCTTTCAAAGGAAATATCACAGCTGCTCCCAGGCTCAAGAAGAGAAGTGGGGTTAGAAGAATGATGCTGTCCAGTCCCCAGTTGGAACACTACATCAAAGCTGAAGTTTCCCTCCAATTTATCTCTCTCAAAGACTCTATATATCCCACGCTGTGGATCTAGTTTTGTAATAGCAGGGGAAACCAGGGATCCGAGAAGTTGGCAGATCACTTCAATAAAATCACTCTTGGCAGATGCCAACGCTCTTACGTTTTCAGCAGAAGGCTTATCTTGTGGCTGGTGGAAACCTGGCTCCTACAGAATTGAAGTCACCATATTGGTCATGTTTGTTTCACACACACAGAGAAAACTCTTATAAACCCTGCTAGTCAACATGACTAGAAGCTTGTGGCATACAACCTAGGAAAAGTTGATAGGAAATAATACTGTGGGGTGTACAGCTTATCCTAGCTTGCTTGACCAGTTATCCAAAGATCTAAATTATATTTGTTGTGGATATCCAACTCCCTCCAAATGGATCGTTTCCACTATATCGTCTATGTCAGTCTAGAAGTCGCCTCTATCCAATGTGCAAGGAATCACTGAATATAGGGCAATTTGATCACATGGTACATACTCATCCAAAACTGCTACAAAAAGAAAAAACTAAACATATTTTCTAAAACTGGATATCACTATTATTGCCTTCACATAAATAGCATTTGACAGAAATCCATGTGGGTGTGTATATGGCAGAGGCCGTGATGGTGATGAGCGCTCAGGCCAGCCTCATGGGTATGTAACCGATGCAGTCCTGTAGAGGCCCATGCTTGGCTCAAGGCTCTGCCATGGTTACCTTGAAATTCTTGATTTTTAAATAAGGGTGCTTGAATTTTCATTTTATACCAGGCCTGAAAATTATGTGGTCAGTCCTGAGTGTGTGTGGAGGGGACAAAAGAAATTCTTTATCTTGTATGTCTACAGTAACATTCTGTTTTCATAATATTAGATAGAAATCCAGCTTAGAAAAGTAGACATTGCCTTGTCTATCATGTAATTCTGAGTACAGCAAACTATATCAAAGAACTAGCCATGTTTAATGCAATATGTCCACAGGAATATTAATAACTTCTTCACTCTGAAAGAGAATAGCAATTACCCACCACAGTATCCATCACAAAGTCAACGCTCAAAGTTCTCCAAAAACAAGAGTTACAAAACCACGACCTGTGGTTTTACAAATAAAGTTTTATTGGAACAGAGCCACACCCATTCATTTATACAGCGTCTGGCTACTTTTGCATGCAGTGGCAGAACTGAACAGTTGTGATAGACCACACAGCCTGTGAAGCCTGATATACATGTTATTTAACTCTTTACAGAAAAAGTTTGCAGACCCATATCTAGAAGTGCTGGTTCAGAGTATGCTTCTGGACCAGCAGTGGCATCTGGGAACACATTGAAAAGTAAATTCTCAGAACTTTTATCCCACAGAAGCTCTGGGAGTGGTCCCAGAAATCTGTGTTTCTGTAAGTCTTTTGGGTGATTCCCATGCATGCTCAAATTTAAGAACAAATGCGTGAGGAATCATGTAAGCTTTCTACGAGGCTGGTTCTATCTGTTTCCTTTTATGACCAGCCAAATTCCACTATGAAAATCTAACAATACAAAATTATTCCCAGCTTCTGGCCAAGATGGAGGACCAGAGACCTGCCTGAAACAGCTAAAAAACTGGACAGAATATATGAACCAAGAATCTTGAAGCTATTAGACATCAGGTTATGAAGAACCATCCATGGCTAATAAGTCAGTCACTAAAAGAAATACACAAAAGAATCAAGGAATCAACTTTGATGACCTATAATTAATTTCAAAGAAGCAAGCAGAATAGGTACACATGAAGGCACAATTCAGTCTTCAAACAAAAGAAATTCTTTGCCATAAACATCACCAGGGGTGTTGGGTCTTTTAGAGGTCTCCTTTAACTGAAGCTGCTGCGAGGCAGAGTGAAGGGTGGAGGCAAGCATGGACAGGGAGGGAAAAGCCAGCCACATTCTTCAAGGAGCAGATACTTAGTGTTCACTGAGTGTCTCTGATGTCCTGAGAATGGGGTAGGCAACTAGGGACCCAATGGTGAACTAAGACAGGTATGGTGCACACTTTCTTGGAGTGTGGGGGGTGGGGACGGGCAGACATGAATTAAACTTTTAAGTTAAGAAGTGTGAAGAGAGCAAGCAATGGGGATTGACTCGGGTTTCTGGGCTTCCTGAGCTTGAATCCAGTTTGAATTAGGGTTAACTGGCTATAAGGGGGAAAGGATGGGTAGGAAAGGTGATCCAGGAAGCAGAAAGAGCACCAACAAAAGCT